AAGAGCTGGGACAATTGAACTCCAGGTGAAATGTTCTGCTAAACGGAATTTTCTGTTGCCGCCCCATTGAAAGATATGGAACATCCAGTTTGCCATCGTCTGTCTACCATCATAATGTAAACACACTATTAGACCTGCTCACAGACTATTGCATGTTGCTTACCTGGCATATAACTTTAACATACCATTCTGGCCAAAAGTCAGAGACCACCCTTCATTTATTTAACTTGCAGTCAAAATTGCCCTTAAGTAAAATTACCCATTTCAAAAGAAACCTCTCAAAAGATCAAACAAGTTGAGAAAATGGGACTCTTACCAGACCTGATAGACCACCCAAACTTTCACCATCAGATAAATAACACTTAAAGCCTTCATCTTTGAGAGAGAGGAGAAAATCAAGCTGCTTCAGATCTGAAAACATCCACAGGTGTTTCTGTCCATCCTTCCACTGTGAGAAGACGACTCAGCGCTATGGATCTGAAAGGATGTGTAGCTGTCAAGAAGCCTCACTGAGCTTTTCTCTCCTAGACAAAATAGAACCTCTACAAATCAAACAAAGAGGCTGCTGGTGTCCAGAACAATGAACTGACCACACCAGAATCCAGACCTCAACATCACTGAATGTGTTTGTGATTATTTGGACAGTGAGAAGCAGAAAATGCAACCAACTTCTAAGACTAAACTTTGGAAATGTGGAAAAATATCCCTGCAGATTTCTTTTGAAAACTGAAAGCAAGTCTCCTGAAAAGAATGGAAGCTGTAATAAAGACAAACAGTGGACACAATAAATGCTGAAAAAAACTGTAATTATCCTTTTTTTGTTTAGGCTAGCCAGTGCTTTTGGCGCTTTCCTCCAAGCACGTTCAGCTGTCCAGTGACATGACAATGCGTGTGTGACAGTTCATAAAGATGCGGTGACCGGCTCTCAGAGGAAGCCTGTGCTAGCTTTCACCCTCCTAACACTGGTGGTATCATGTGATTGTTGGAGTCCTAACTAGTGGATAGAATGGGATCCAAATTGGGAAAACAAAACATGGAAAAAAAAAAAGTATATAGAATTCATGTAGCCCTTTTTCCCTCATGCTGAAAAATGAATAATTTGTTCTAAATGGCAGTTGAAGAGTGGTCTCTGACTTCTGCACACTACTGTACTGTAATTCCAAGTAAAAATGGACCATTTGTCTTTGTCAAGTAACGTAAAACGAGCTGGACCTTTCAAATGATGTAAAAAAAGGAATAAAAACCAAAAACTACTGTGAGTTGTGAGGCTTTGCTGACAAACAATTTGTAAAACTGCCTTTATGATACGAGTCTGGCATTAGGCTTATACTGACCATGTTGTCATTAGGCGCCGGGGTGTAATGACCCGGGTTGGCCCCCCCCGAGAAGTGCCCCACCTTTCATGTGTCTCCATACCCATAACCCCCGGCTCTGTCAACACCCTTGCGCCACATGAAGGGGAAAAAGTTGTTTATCCCCCTGTAAGATATTCAAATGAAGCCCAGAATGCTAACTTTCCCAGCGTTCCTTTACCTCAGAGACGAGACTCCTCCCCCCCCTCGCCTTCTCTCTCTCTCACTTTTCGCAGTAGCCGTTCATAGACACATGGGCCTACCATAACAAACGGCATGTTTGAAGTACTCCTTGGAGAATTAGGGTGCATACACCAGCACACACACTCGCACATTCATTCAGCGCTGCTTACTATGGCTTAATTAAAAGCACACAGCCACAGTATGTATTTTTAAAGTGGCATCCCAAAGTTGTGCATCTGCATCAGAGTGACTGTATTCAGGCTATGCATAAATAAATAGCGCTTCTGCATGAATATTTATATTGTCAATATAATTAGCGATGTAGACTAATGGAGACTATGTTTTTGCACTTGAGGCAATGCCAATTTCTGCGGTTGTTTATTTTTCTGCCGTGTTTGTCCCCTCGGTGGCTCGGGGCCCGCTAAATAAAGCGCTTCGTTATTCCCCCGGCTGGCACCAGCACGCGGCCCGCAATGATGCTCGGCTTGACCATTCCGCACAAAGCTACTAGCGCACGGGACTCTGAATGGTGGTGCTAAAATGCCAGGCTTATTTTTAGCTTTTCTCACTTGTGCAAAGCCGTGTTGTGATGTTTGCAGTGGCCCAGATTTGGGCCGTCCACCTTGGCATTTGTCATTGTTTTTTTTTTCCATTTTTCCTTTTCTTTTTTTTCTGACCACTGCATTTAGAGGTGCAATTGGTTCTCCCACTGCCATAGGGAGAAAGAGAGAGGGAGAGAGAGGGAGAGAAAATGTGGGTTACACAAAATAGTTTTATTTTGTGCAACCTGGATGCAATCAGGACGAAGTCGCTTTTTCCTGCGTGCTGCTAAATTTAGTTTTTTCACAGCGAGGTACTTTTGATTATAAATTGAGAAGCATTTTGTTTTTGCTGTTTCACCATCTGACATACTTCTCTGGTACATATCTACTTATCATTTAAATGAGACCCTTATACTGACTCCCTACCAAAAAATCTGTGTGCTTTCTGCTTGTGGTTTTTCTATCTCGAGGAAGATAATCCATCAAAAAATCACGTGATTACAGTATTTCAGTCTACACTGTATAAAATTAGATATAAATAATAATAAATAAAATATCATTGTAACATATTTTGTTCATGTGGAGCTACTGTACACGTTTGAATCATGTATATTTAAAGCAACCTTTAAGCAACCTTGTTCAGAGCTTTAGTGGAAGCTCTTTAGTGGAAGAAGAGAATCTAAGACGCCTTTTAAAAATATTTTTATGAAATGTGGCAAAATGTGGCAAAATAAAATTGCATATCATTGCTGTCATAACAAAATCTTGCATCTCAATTTGTTTTTGTTTTTTTTGTTTTTTGTTTTAACATAATTTGAAAAGCTGCCCCTTGCAAAGTTTCAAAATTTCAGGATGATTGTATCAGTAGAGATGGTTAAAAAATAACTCTGAATATAATTTGTAATATTGAGTGCGTTTACATGCACTTAATCCGATGACTGCAGAAAATCAGATTTTGGCAATAATCCAATCAATGTGTTTATGTGCACTTGAGTTATCAGACAATGGGAAACTCAGTAATTGGGTTTTTGCTTTGAAACCAGCCAATAAATTCACAGAAGAAGGATCATCTTATAAAAATGTTGCATCGATAGAACTGCATTTCTGTGTATTACTACATAAGAAACCCACACATTAAATACACTGTCCTACCTGTATAAATTAGCCTGAAGCAGCAGATCATGACTGCATTGATCCCCACTTTCCAAGCTTTCAGCTGTTTGAGTCTGTGAGCTGTCTCAGCATTAGCTGGTTTCCATATTTTGTTTATTTGCAGGGATCAGACCTCCACGTATCAAAAATCAAAACTTATGTCGCACACTCAACAGAGAGAATTGGACAGTTTGGCATAATAAGACACAGAAAGATGAGAAGATAGGATCAGTTTAGAAACGGCACCATCCAACCAGCACAGTCTACAGCCCACAGCCCTCATTATCTCCTCTACACCATTTGCTGACAATTTCAAAGCAAGTCTCTGGTCTGTTTGATCTTATTAGCCAAATTGTCTGCCCATATTTTTGTTGGTCTTTAATAAAAATATCAGCACGAGAGGAGAATTCTGACTTTTTAAATAGATGAGTCATTACAATTTTGGATTAATGCTAATAGATTAAATTAGCAGTTCATAGTTTTATGTGGTTGCTAAGCAGAGGTTCATTAGGAGCTTCACAGAACCACAGCTTCAAATAGTTCACTAGAAAGTGTGTAGAAGTATGAGGTAACTGTGAAACAGCCTTCCACTAAACTTTCACTAATCATTGCTCTGCTTTTTAGTGTTGCTCTTGAATTATGGACATTGCATTGCATCACATATTTGAAGCGTGTTCGTATTTGCATCGCTTATTTCATATTGCCAGCCTTATCCTTCCATTCTAAACACCTGATTCCAGAATGTTTAACATCAGTTCAATTAAGTCAGGTCAAGGCTTATTTATAGCAGACGTTTTTTACAACAGATGTCATAAGGCAGCTTTACAGAAAATTCAGGTCCAAGCCCCAGTGAGCAAGCCAAGGACAACAGGGGCAAGAAAAACTCCCTAAGAACAAGAGGAAGACACCTTGAGAGGAACCTATCCTCCTCTGGTCAACACTGGACAGCAAAACAATGACACAACAAGAGCAATATGAATAGAGAATTCATTCATCAGGATTACAAAAAAAAAATAAGTCACTATTTTACATGCAGCCTAATAATCCGTTAATAATCAGACTAACAGCTCAATCGGAATAGAATACGTCCGATTGAGGCCACTCGGAATACTGTGTCTATCCAATTGAACAAGGTGGGTAATCCTGTAAATAATCCATTAAATAGAAGAATAATAGCCATGTAAACACGTGTATCCGATTACATTCCCAACCGGAAAGTTCACGTTCTGCACATGTGCGTCGCGTCATAGCAAAAGTTTGTAACATTCAACATGGCGGGAGCAGAAACTGCTCTGCAGAGGAGCTTATGTGTCTCAGAACATGACGTCTTCCTCTCAGCCTTCTTTAATAAGTACACGTGAAGTACATTTTCCTGAGTCTGACATTATTTTAAAGTAATTAAAAACACAACCACACCAGCTGAAAACTCAGGTAACACACTGCTGCTCGTCTCACTCTGACTGGACTCACGTGACGCTCACTGTCATGGTAACGTCAACACTAAGCTGTGCTCTATGCATAAATTTGGTGCGCATGTAAACAGAGATTTTGAGTGTTGAGTTTAGTGAGCATATAAACACCTCAGTCTTAATCTATAATCAGTGTATTCAGTTGGATTGGCAAAAATCTTTGCATGTAAACACAGCCAGTGTTAACCAGTGAAAAACAGGAACCTCTGTTTGAAGCACATCACAGTTAGAAATCTGATGTATGAGACATCTGTGCTGTGTTTAACACTTGAACCTCTCTCTCTCTTTTTCTCTCTGTGCAGTATTTGTCCAGGCCAGTAAGCTCCAGCAGCATATCTTCTCCGCTCACGGTCAGGAGGATAAAATCTACGACTGCACGCAGTGCCCACAGAAATTCTTCTTCCAGACAGAGCTTCAGGTGAGTACTGGACCAGAGTTTTCCATTCTGGAGAATCTTAAAGCCCTTAAACAATAAACTCAAGCAAACTGACCAATCCATGCTCCACCCACAAACGCATTCATCCATAGCAACTATAGCGAGGTTGGACAGGCTTTGGAGAATATCAATATCCTATTCAATCTATTGAGAATTTGGGTAGCATGTGTCAAACACCTACATTTAAAGCACATTATTAATGTGAAATATTTAATTGCATGCATTTGAGAGATTCTGCTGTTGGGATGGAGCACTTTTTTACCATGTAATCAAGCTAATATTATCATAGTGCCAAATTTATAGTAATAAAAAAAGCTCTGTGTTGTCTATAATGAGCCTGATCAATTAGCTACAAACACACAGTAAATCTTAGTTGCTTAGCGTTGTAAACTGGAAAAGGAAAACACTACTGTCCAGTGCTTTGGTCCTCCAGGATGTTTGTGTGAAGAAGGAAGAATGCCAGGGGCTTAATGCTAAGTGCCTTTAACTTGTCTCTTTTTTTAGCCATGCTAGTATATTTTGGCAAGGCATTCCTTTAATTTAAAGGCAGTCCTTCAGTGTAAAGGCAGATTAAAATCATAACACTTTGGAGGTGCATGTTGCTGTTGGCTGTTTGTTGGCAGTTTATGGTGGTATAGATGGTATGCAGTGTGGCATCAAAAGGTATTAGACCTATACAGACGACACTGCAGACTCTATATGTCTGAAGATGCTTTTCGGCATCTTTCATAACACCATTTTTGCCATCACAAAGCTATATAATTTATAAGAAGCAGTGAGTCAGGTTTATAGGCCCAGACTCCTCTTCAGTCACTGTCATGTCACTGTGTTTTACTGGTCAGTGAGTGCAGGCAGGAGTGAAGGTATTTTTTGACATTTTTTTTTTTATTATTTGAGAAAGATACATATTTTTTGTAACACAAGCAACCTATACATTTCTACTACAAATGAAAACATAAACTTTCTAGTACCTGTTGTTTATGAGCGATTCAGCCAAAAGCGATTCAGCTAAAAAAAGTTGCTGAAGTCTGGAAAATTGGTGCAAAACACAACTAATTCAATACACTTCTATATTCTTTGAACCAGACAAGCTGCCCAACCTAAACAAATAAAAATATATCCATCAAAATAAATATGACTGGTGGAAAGCAGAGGCTCTATGACAAAATGACAAAACTTTTTTTTGACTACTACTAAGGTAGTAGAGCAAGTATCAACACAATAACACTAAAATAGCCCTGCGATGGACTGATGGCCTGTCCAGGGTGTTTCCTGCCTTCTGGCCAATGACCGCTGGGATAGCCTCCAATACCCCCTTGCGACCTGGAAGGATAAGCAGTTTAGAAAATGTGTGTGTGTGTAACATTAAAATATATAATGTACACCTATAGCAGGTTTTTGAAGAAAATGTCAAAAAAACTTGTCAAAAAAATGGACTGCTCTGAATTTAAATGGGGGGTGATGGACATCTCTCACTGTTTCTTAGCCTGGCTAGCCCTTAGTGTCATTTGAATGCATGAAGTTCAAGTTTAAAATGGTGCTATATCTCTATATTGAAGGTGATTAAAATAATATAAGAGTGAATTCTGTAATGTACACACACAGCTCAGTAACTGAAAAACTGATAAATAAAGTTGCTTTTATGGAACAATCTAGAGAAATATCTGTCTGATTGCTGTCTGATTGAACATTCTACTCGAACCTGTTTAACTACATACTTACATACAGAACATATTCATGTTAGGTTTTACCCCAGGTTAGATTGTGCTCCACTGTCCTCATATTTGAATCAGGTAAACTTGTTTTCGGAGTAGATGTTGGCACTGTTTTCAGCTGTTCCACTCTGTGCGAGGCCTTTCATTTGTAATCAACTGAATCCATTTCCATATTGGGATTCAGACAGCAGTGTCCATTGTCTGCTGCTGGCCAGAAGGAAGGTGAGCGGGATCATTATCTCCGAACCCGCCATAGGTCTGCACCGGCAAAATAAACCAAATGTGACATGCCGACATGGCCGGTTGTCATGGAGACGGTAAATAAGAAGCCCCTGTGCTAGCAGACTACATGCGTAGCGCTTGTTGGAGAGTCGCGCCGCTAATCCTTTATTGTTATTTTTTAATCTGTTCGGAAGACAAACGTTGCGATTACCTGTAAACAACCTTTCTTTAACCTGGGGGATGTTTTCCATAGTTTTGTTATTTTTTTTGTTTTTGTTTTTGCGACTCTTTGGGATGGAGTGATGTGGGTCTCCCCGTGGTGTCGTTTCATGCATGCTTTAGTTGTTTTACAGGCTTTTTGTCGAGACAAGAGCAGACATGAAAGACCTTTGGCTCTTTGTTCTGGATCAGGGAGGGTTATGAAAGGAGCAGAGGATTGCGCTCGGGGAAATATTGTTATTATATTTCACCTGAAAATTGTTCCCAGATTGTGCCCCATGGGTAGATGCATCACACACATACACACATACACAGACGCAGACACTCACACACCCACATACACAAGGCTTCATGTGCACACATGCATGTTTAAAACACTGTATATAAACCCCACAAACTTATAGCCCACCACAACACTGCTGGGGTCATAATTTGTGCATCATAGCCCTGCAAAATATAGGATGATATTAACTGTTCGTTGAAGGGATAGCTTTTTTATGGAGTGGGGTGAAGTGGGGGGATGTAAACCCTTTTAGACCTTCATTAAAGCCTTGCTGCTGTTGCATATGCTGTTAACCCTTTAAGGCAGACACAGAACATGGCTGTTTTCTGCTATTTTGTCCAATCTTCTCCATTACTAAAGCAATTTCTCAGTGCTGTTGTTGCATTTGAAATAGAATGTGATCTAACAAAGCTGAAAATCAGTAGATTTGTGTTTGGTTTGCGTCACAATCTTCATTTTAGAGCAAGAAATGGGAATATAAGTCTTACATCAGTCACGCTTTACAGTTACTCTGATCAAATGAGCTTCAGAAATAAACACAGTGCGTCTACCAATAAAGGAAGCCTCATACATCTTTTATGCAGTGATAGAAAACACAGTAGCGTACAGATGATTTTACTGTTGCCAATGGAGACGTGTATGTGGCTATACTCCTGTAGTGACATATTTAAACAAGCTTTCCTTTGTTTTTTGGCTCTGGTGGTAGGTGTACCAGCCTTATCAGGTTCATTTGGTTAAAGTAAAGGCTTCTTTGAGCAATGCCAAAGAAGAATTATTGCTCTTTTGGTTCCCGAAAATAATATAAAGGTTTTAAATAAATCAGGCCTGTCAAGTGGTTAAAACAATTAGTCATGATTAATCACAATCTTTTGTGTAGTGGGGCAAAGGTGGCATTTCCATGGCGACTCTCACTCCAAGAGTGTACCTTTTAAGAGTGTACCTTTGTGTTCATTTGCTTTCATTTCACAGTAGAGTTTTAATTGTGTCCAGTTTCAGCAAAAACTAAATTGTCACTCAATCCTGTGCATTATATGAGGATATATTTTTCGACTAAATTATGTAGTAGTTTGATGATTAAAGGAAGTGGTCCATATTGACAAACTGGGACTAACTAGTTAAACCACTATCTCTTGTTTAACCGGACAACAATGTATCTCCCTCTCTGTAAGTATGGAGAAACAACAGTGCTCTGAAGACAATGTGCCATTTAGTCCTGCTAAATAGGCTGGTCTGATAACTAATGAACTAATTAAGGGTTAACTAATTAAGCAGTCTTTGAAAAGAGATGTTTTGAGGAGAGATGTTTTAGAAACATGAGATATGATAAATAAACAAGATCATGAATGCTGACAATCAACTCTGATTTACTGTGACCCGTTAGTCCTTCGAAGTCACAGTGACCCTGGCAAGAATAAAGGCGTAGTGTAACTTTGTAGAAATTATTCTTTTTTACATGTAGCTCACTGAAAGAAGCGGAACAGCTCTGTTGAAAATTCTACACTTTCAATCGATACCACATCTGTCTTTGCAAGTTAAAAAGATGCTTTATTATGATAAGTTATTGTGCGTTTTTGCATAAAGGAACATGTTTTTCAGTACTTTGGTTGATTCTTGACAACCGATACAGTCAGAAATGTGAACTCAAAGCTGTTAATTTGGAATGTGATTTAAAGGAAAATGTAATTCATTGCATGAATGACTGCAATGAATGTTTTTATGTAATTGCATTTAAATTCTGTAGCAAAATGACATCAAGATTACTTACTATCCAGTAACTACAATGATTAAATCAGTAACTACAATGAAAAAATTAGTGACTGTTATGACTAATTGAATAACTACTATGATATTAATATGTAATATGTATGTAATAAAAACACACCATTGAATCTGCAGTGTTTAGGGAGGGTTTAAATACATTTCAGGCTTAAAAATTCAACCCCCTGATCTTTCAGAAGCGAGCAGCTTTGTGGAGATGATTGCCTTCATCTTCCTTTGTGTTGTTTTGTGTTGTGTTAACGGTACGAGGTGAAGCGCTGTGTGTGCTGGGCATCACTTTCTCGTCTTTGTCAGAATTGCCACACGTCAGTATGTCCAGATGAAGCGTAGATCAATGTGTCAGATCCACTGACCGTCTTAGCCTGCATACTACCGACCAGAGATTTGCTTTTTCTTCTCTCACTCTCTCTCTCTCCCTCTCTCTCTCTCTGTCTCTCGCCCCTCTTCAGCAGCCTATCCATATCATCCCTCACTCCAGTCAGGGAGGTCAAGGGTCGGGCTCCAGCCGAGCACAGGAGAGGGGAGATGGGCAGAGGGAGGGAAAGAGAGAGAGAGAGGGATGAAGAGAGGGAAAGGGGGGAGAGATATTTTATTCATTTGCAGGAGAGCTGTGACAGGTACCCCCCTCAAACTCCCCCCATCTAAAGCCTGGTGAACCCCGCGCCCTGCCAGGAGCCGGCCAATTTCCAGCGGCCTGTCTGGGAGGATGATGGGAAAGCGCAGGCCTAATCAGCCCTCCCAGGAACACACACACTGTGATTGAC